CATCACATTGTGTAATGCGCTCTGACTAGGCCTAGAACATTTTTTTTGTGACTGTACGAATCGATCGATGAGGCAAAGTTTGAGTTTTAAGATTTCCGTATTGTCAGTTTTATTCGTCGCACTACACCGGAATATTCGTTTTTATAGAAATTACTAAAAAATTAAAAATGGGAATATGTGTCTAATTAACCTTTTGCGCACGAATAAATCGCTTTTAATCTAGATATTGCTAAATTATGATATAACTTGTTCTTTAGGGTAGAAAATCATCAAATGACTCATCCAGCCCTAGGTGGGGCGGGAGAGTCTCAGACTCTTACTGTATAAAACTATTTCTTCTCCTACTCCGGGCCGCGGTACATAAGTGTGCTTGCACCCGCTACCTTAAAGTTTATTTAAGTCTACATTACCAAAAAAATATATAAAATAGTAGTACCTAGATTACTTTGAGCGGTTTTTCTTCTCCTCAAATAATATCTTCTGATTTATTTCGTTGTGGGATCCAAGACAGACATTCATGTCCCGGCCCGGACTTCAGTGTTCCGGAGTTTGCATTTTAGTATCTACTGTAGTTGCAGCGGTTTTGGTCCCATAAAAAAATACCTAGATTACTAATTTGAAAATAGTATAGAAAACTTAAATCTGTTAATATAGTAATATAAAGTGCATTATACAGTTCTCAAACAAAAAAAAATACAAAAATCCATAAACCATTTTACTGCCATTACATTCGAAACACATTACTGCATTAGCAAAAGCGAACAACCAATAATTACAGAAACTCAACAGTTAGTAGTTAACTTAGTCCAGTTAGCTCCAACCGATGGTTACTCGGATAAGCGAGTGCAGTTGAATCGATTAGAATCGATTACAATACGACTCGACTAACGATAGACCGATATGAAAGCTGCTATTGCAATTAAGCAGTATTGTATGGGCGTGGCGTGTGGTTAAAACAAATGATGTGTGATTCAATTTTCAGGTGAAGCGTTTATAAGTTTTTCATAGTTTAGAACAATATCTGAAGAAAATAGGTTGAGGATGATTTAATTGTGTAGGAAAAGAAAACGGAGACATCACATTCCATTTTTCCAATTCAACATAAACCTTATGTATAAAGCAGGCTATTATAAATCAAATAATAACTTTGGACGATTTTCAGTGACGTTATTTTTAATACGGTCTTAAAATTTTATATGGCCCTCAAAATATTTATTATTTATGCCTAACTGTAATTAATTTAATAAGAAACGTTAAAATACTAGCGCAGTTATTATTAACCGGCCATAATTTGAGGGAATTAGCTGGATTTATGACTACCGTATAATTTGAACACGAACCAAGAAAACACAAGCAAATAACCATACTTTTATTAATTAGCTTCAAATTAAATATGCAACGTAAAGGAAAAATACATTTGACTTCAGTTCTGAAATAAGTGTTTTGTAAGGACGCATGGTAATTAAAGGAAATATTTTAGACGTCTCGAACACGACACGAATGTTTTTGTGATCGAACTGTTAACATAACATTTTCAAAGTCTACGTCCATCATTACTTATAAAATAAAATGAAACAACTCGTCACTCTATCTACATTTTCCCTTTTCAAGTCATTGACAAAAACAAAATTAGACCTAATTTAGAAGAAAAGAACTATAAATACACCGAAGCCAAAAATAATGCGTACGCTTAAACGCTTTTAAATCTCGTAGCATCTTCGTAGCTGTGCTACGAGATCTACGCTTTTTCGTAGCTAGTGCTCAATTCAAGCACCCCATAAAATTAGTCCAAGTATCTTATCGTATATTAACAGTAACTAGTAAAACATTATTCGGGTAGTTTTAAATTTAAAAGAATAGCATTTTAATCTTATTTCGCTTTAGCTCCAAAGCGGCGTCACGATATTTCTGTGTTATCGGTCGATCTAAACGTTCTTTGAACTTTTACCGACCTTAGAATGTAACCATAAAGCAATTCTGAATTCCAATTCAGTTCCTAAACATAACGAAAATATTAAAATGACTTTGGTTATTGGGTTGCGTAACAACGCTACGGGTAACGTTTTGTTTCCCTAAACCTCGTATTTTTTGAGCTTAGATGGTTGGGAGTTGTTCTTAAAGAAAGTTGAAGAATAATGCTTTACGTTTTCCATTTACTGGGTGACGCAGATATAATAAGTAATGCATTTCCAAAACAAATATTATAAACAAATATACAACGTTATAAGGCACGTGCACGCTATGAAGGTGTTCAAAATCTGCCAAGTGCTAAAGTGATGAAGTCGCATGTATTTTCTAAGATTTAAAAATCACTGGCAAAGGTAGGCTGGTGAAGGAATATATCGACCGATAGAAATTGAATCGAGACCGATTAGATTTATGCTAATTCCTAATCCGCAGGCGAAAAAGCCGTTACTCAGCAGTTGAATAATATTTACAGGCTGAAAATGAGCTAATTTACAACATCTAATTTTAAAATACCAACACCAACATAACAAATTCCAACCAGAACTCCAGATAGAACAATTGAATTATCCCCACCTCTAATGAGACCACGCAATACCTAGCCCCTACCGTCATACTTACATACATACGTATTATACACTGAAACACAATTATGTATATATAATGAACGATACATCATTCCTGGCACACGTAACACAGGTCGAGCCATCCTCAGGGAGGTGTACTATGTACTACAAGATTCAACAAACGCCTACTAGATGTTAAATACAACTCAGACATGAGTTACGCTATTAATTTTGATTGGCATACTTGTCCAAAATGTGCCTATGCATCCTTTCTTCGGATTATTAAAAGTTATTCGTGTATAAGTGACATTTATGGGAACAGACAATATTGAGATGTCGGATATGCTGTATTTATCTTCTTTTTACTTTATTTTAGAGAGTAATCTAACTTCTATTTTAAAGAATACGCTCCTCTTCATGTATTTTATAACGACTGATATTCAGGTGATTCCTTGCCCTGTGACAATAAAAGGAAAATAATAACAACTAGATTAATAGTCTAGTCAACAAGTTTAATAATAACTGCAAAAATAATTATATGTTGTTAGTTGCTATTATTTTCTTCTTAATTTTCAACCACATCACGAGTGACTCTACAGACTTGATTGACATGTCTTTATAATTGAACTGGCCAATCAATGAAAAGATCTAATGACCAAAGATGTATGGCGTCACAAAATAGGCAATTGACTGGTTAATTACACATGAAAATGTAAAACACGTCTCGTTGTACAACAAGATTCAGTGAACGCCTTCGAAGCGCGTCATTAATTTAGATTGGCGGAGCACACTTCGATTGTTTATTCCATTAAACTTATATCGTTGTTGGGAAACTCGCAACGTTCAGCGTTTGTTCCAACTCCCAGAGTTCACGGAGTTAGGTTGCGCTCGCGACGGACAATGCACGAAATCACCGTACCTAAATAACTTTAGAAACTCAACTCTAATTGTAATTACGGCTATTTTGTTCTACCAATTTTCTAATCCTACTACAAATTTCTAGACACATATCGACTAGGTGGAATTGTAGCTACATGCAGTGTGTTTTTGAACTTCTTAGAAATCCTTATGTTTTATTTATTCAATTTACATGCTCTTTCACTTTTATTGCCGATTTCAGTTCTATTTAAACTCCTACATTTAATAGCTTAATGATAGCTAATTCTATTGACTTCTTTATATTTATATCATATCATTGATGTTCTACTTTATTTGTGAATGTATTCACCTCCAGAATACATATTAGACAAATACAGGTATGCAAATCAGCTAATAAAACAACACCTCGGTGTTGTAAAAGTGAAAAACGGGGTCACGGCTTAGTACTGCAGGTGATGCATTGGCACCGAGTTACTTAGCTAATCGTATGCATCGATGCGGCTTAAACACGATGATAATTCACCGTCTGCTTTTAATAGTCAGCTTAGTTTATGGAATTTCAAAATTGAGCGATGCAATTATAAATGAATTATAGTTTATAGCTACACCTCTGCAGTAAGGTCGAAAATAATTGTATTTTTTATTTTTGGGGTATGTGACACATAGATTTTTTCCAAGACTCTCATCGTCAAATATTTGCTGTATGCCCATTACGTCAGTGGTCCAACAAGCAAGCAATTAACGACCAAATCGCCGTACTATACCTTGGTCACTAGTTACATAATTGCTTGACTAAATCAATTAAAATACAGCTGAATCTACAACGTTTCGTTAGTTAAATATGTAGCTATTTGCATAAAACCAGAATGGCACACAAATTAATTAGTAATTGAAAATTGATTTCCATTGAAGAGTTAATTTATTTAAATTGCATCCCACACGTTAGTTGAGAACGTTCCAAACTGGCTACTGGTCGGTCTGATCAAATTAATTTATCAAATGGACGTTTCGCTGTAATTACTGACTGCCATAATTAATTAAATATTAGGAAGCCGTGGATTATTTCGTGAAATTGTTTTGTGTTTCGAAATGTATTTCTAATGGTATCGGGAATTATATTGTGTAAGCTACGTAAATGGTGACGAGTTGAATGAAAAATAATTTATTTTTCATCGAATATGCAATTAATGTTTTTTTTTATTTATTTTTTTTATTTTCGGTTGTTCTGTATTTTTTTTTACTTTTTGTTTTCCTTTCATGTGGAGGGGTGATGCAGTGCTCTATGAGTTACGTGAAACAAATCCAACTAGAGGCACAATTTTATAACAACTTTCATGTTCTTTGCATGGAATGGAATTCCTTCCTCTAGAACTTTTTAAATAGAATACTATAACTAAAATGCCTTGCCTCAGTAAAATATATCTTTATTTTTTTTCTACTTTCTTCTGACTGTATCATTTTAATTGTATGGTGTGGTACGGTACGACAGGTGTTGGTGAGTAGCCCGGATGCGGCGGCGACGCGCGCGCATGGCCCCGCCCCCTGTGCTAGCCATGCGGCGCGCTAGCTGAACGCCGGCGCCGGCGGTGCATGTACGCGGCGGCGGGCGGCGCCTCGCTCGCGGGCCGTAAGGTAAATAACCAAATAATTATTTAAACATTATAATATTCCATTGCAAAAATTAATGTTCCGTATAATATTTGTTAGAAGAATTGATATTTAACTTAAACAAACGTATTGCGATAGTGTTGTGTGTGAACACTAAAAAAATCTTTTGATTATAATTAAGGAAACTTTGACTTTTAAATAATCGTTAATACCTACTATTTGGTGTTGGTCAGTAATTACTAGTCAGACATAAGATAAAAGTAAAAATTTTATTCAATGCTTGTATACCTAGCTCTTTTCGTAAGAGCAACATTTTCAGTGAAATATGTAGTAAATCTCATTTGTAATTGTGCAGGCGCGCCAGCACGGCCGCCAGCCCGCGCCGCCGAGCCCGCGGCCGCACAGCCCGCTCCACCCCGCGCCCACCGGCGTACGCGCCTACTCCTGCCAGCACTGGGAGTCCCGCCTCGCCGCGCCCCCCTCGCGCGTCTCCGCGCCTATCTCCGACCCGCCCTCGCCATGCGAACTCATCGAGGTACACAGCTACAGTACTACCTATTGAAAACATCAGACATCACACACAAGTGATTGCAGCAAACCGATTACAAATTATTCGCTTGTCAACAAGCAATTTTCCGTGACTGGCCTCGACTTGTTTACATGATTGTATACTGCAAGTTGTTGCCAAGATAAATATCCTATACTCGTAGTCGTACGTAAATACTCGTTTATTGGATGTCTTGTAGTATTGTATCTACTGAGTACCTGTAATGAATGTTTGTTCTTACAGCTTGAAGGGTAAGAACGATTTTTAGTGTTTGAGCATTTCTGTCTGATGTCCGATGTTTATCAATAATGTTCAGTACTGTAAATATGTGTTCAGTGTATACTAGCGTAAGCATGGTATCTCATTATATGTGTTGTGTACGTACAGAGGCCCTTTGTGCCTCGCATCTATGCTCTAGAGGTAAGCAGTAGTAGCTGCGCTGGTATGTCGGTATGTATTCAATGTTCAATGTGTTCATAGCTAGTAAATGTAAGCATGTACTGAGACAATGCAACGTATGGGGAACGTTACCTTTTATGAATCGCGAATGGTCCGTAATTAGCCTCTCGTTGACAAGAATGTTGTGTTTAGATCGTGTTAGAGACCGTTTAACATGTGTTACTGTGAAGTGTTATTGAGTGCAGTGATCAAAGTGGGCCGGCCATGAAACTGCGACACCCAGTGAACAGTAGCGTCCGATGGCAGGTGTCGAAGAACCAGAGACTGCGGCTCGACGTGCGGAACGAAACATGAGCGATACGTGTCACAAACACTCCGAAATAAACAATTAAAACCACTCTAAAACGCCAAATTGCGCTTGCTTCCATAACGTATTCTCTTTCACATATCGTAAATCTAAGATCGACCACTTTATAATTATTATAGTTAACTTTTAAATAAATAATTAGATATAACTTATAATAGTTTCGCGCCTTTCTTGTGCCTATCTTAATCTAATTCTAAAGCATTCTAAAGTGAGATTTAATAATTGAAAGTAATTAATTCTGTGATGGGATTAAAATAAGAGTGATATCGACGTTTGATGTGTATATAGTCTATCTCTTTAAAACGCTAGTTAGGGGTAGAGTAGACGCGCTAGAAGTAGATCCTTAGTAAACATTACTAAAAGACTTTTGAAAGGTGAGTCGATTCGCGATAACTTTGAGAAGTACAAGTGTGTGGACAGACGTGAGTGAAGCAAAGTGCGTAGTGGACAGCCCGCGAGCTGTCCAGGGCCCTTGGCTGAGACTTGTGGCAGCGCGTACTAACGGCCACAAACCTGGCAAGTATGCAGGCAGCTCTTATGCTAAGAAGCAAATCGCGGGAGAGAAGAAAACAGCGTTTAAAGAGAGGCATCAAGCACGACCTGCCGAGCAACATAGCGACCAAACTGATCGCGCCCTTCCCGAGATACCCTCCGGCGTCATGGGTATGTATTCTAACTTGTATTGAGATATGTGGTTGCATGCTGAATGGTAGAAACGATTAATGCCTATGTTGATGTTCTGTCGTAATATTTTCTTATGTGCTTATTTGTTTTCGATATACTAGTACCTAAGGTTGGTCCTAAAACTTGTACATTATTCGTACATTTTGTTTGTATGACCAGAAATTGCTAAAATTTGTGGTTCAACTGCGGCCTGGTATATTCAAATATAAAAGGTACCTATTCTCTTACAAATTAAGCACAAAAGTCAGTTTATTAAGTCCAATGTGAAAAGAGGTATACTCGTAATACCTCCTAATATATTTATAGCAGGAATGCAGCATGGAAGTAACGTGTTTGGTCCAGCTTAATGAAGTGTTGGCGAATGTTCCGTAGGCGGTGACTCAGTAATATATTACTCCAAGTTTAACGCCGTCATTCTGGCTGGTCAAACTATGTTAAATGACGTATTCGATAAGAATATTTTATTACACGTACTTACTTCGAAATTGGAAGGTTGATTCGAAATTTAAATGTTATAAAATGTTAAAATAAAAATAATTCAGCAGTGTAAATTAAACATTTTAGTCTAATAATTACTTCGAAATAAACTTACTTAGATTACATACATGTTATACTTAAAATTGATTTACGATATTGTTGTTTTTAATAAATTTGCTAAATTCGCACTTAGATTTCATCGGTGCCTAAAAATACTACATTTTTACATCGGACCCGGAACGAAAATGCAAGTAACAGATTATGCCAAGTTTAATTCTGTGCTAGAATTATGGCACTAATCATATCGTTAAATTCTAGTATGTTTTGTGTTCATTAATTATAAAAGAAAGTTTATATTTTTATTTAATTCGACAAGTATCTAACCTATGGCATAAAACTCGATACAAATAATACATGATAAATGCTATAGTTATCTTTTTAAATGAACTCGGTAATCGCAAACCTAACATTTATTTCCGAGAACTATGCGTCAGCGTTCTCCCGATATTGGTCCAATTAAATTAAGTTATATCAGGGCAATATTTTAATGTTAATCTAACAAGAAGTATGCACAGTTGAAATAAGTCAAACTTAAGTTTAACTATTTTGTACCAAGTTGTATTTTATAATAATCGCGAATATTAAAATTTGAGTTTCAGAGCATTCTTTCTTCAAAATGATATTTTGTTACAAGTTTTTAAACTGTTTAATCTAGCCGTTTATATTTCTACCAACCGTTGGTGTACGCGTGTACAGATTGGAGACTGCGTCTAGGCATGTACAGTGTGGCGCGCCCTCTAATTAGGTGGTCTGTCGAGATCTGTGAGCGGGCTGGCCAGTATGAGAAGATCTGAACATCGAGCTCAGTGACTTGCGATTGGATAGGCCTATGTCCTCTAATGGAAGGACGGGCCCATGATGATGATGTTTATTTTTCTAGGTATTTAATTAAGATAATATCAGGCCCCTGAAACAAATTCACTCTAATCAGATCGCTGAAATACTTCATTAATGATAAACTTTTAGGATTAATATTTCTTAAAAACCTGTAAAAATCTGTAGTACGCACATAAAAACAATTCCCACACAACATAATTATATTAGAGAGCCCAATACATTCAAAAGTTCTTGGCTTACAATGATGAAATACGTAGATTTCAAGCGGGGAGACTATAAAAATGAATGATGGATGCCCACTTGGTATGTACGGCGAATAGCTGGGCCATTTATCAGAAGAGTTGTCCTCACGCGCGAGCTCGTTGACTGTACTGGGCGGATGGTACACCGTAACTTAAACCCAAAAAAAATAATATCTGTTTATATAAACTAAGTGGAAGAAGTTTTTGTAAAACAAACAAGTTAATACAAATATTACTGCATTTGTTTCTTCAATTCTTATGGAATGTTAAATATTTACAACAACTTTTATATTATTCCACATATAATAATTTATAACATTATTATATGTGGAATAATATAAAAGTACACGTGGTATCAAGTTGCCCTTTAGCATTTTTATTACTTAATCAAAATTGTTCAGCAAATGTTTATGATTATGTCGTAAAATACAATTGTGCTGCAGTACACTATATCACTTGCATCTGCAACCCATAAAAATAATTGTGGGCATTAAATTTAAAACTTAGACTGTAATAATATCTACGATTTTAAGTCCGATTATTTACTGCAATAAGCGCACGAAGCTGTGATAAATAAACGAAAGCGTAACAATTCATTAAAAATAAAAATAATATCCCAATAGTAGCGTCTCTAGCGTCACTGAGAGTTAATGATGTCTCTTTTGAAAGCAGTAAGTTATGGTGTCCCAACCAAGCTACACGCCTGCCTGCCGGCTTTTGTTTCACGGCTCGCAGCTCGCAGCTGGGACAATACAAATAAGTACTTACTCGCAGCTAGTTTGTAGTCTTTGTGTGACGTTCCACTTTCAGGAGTTATCAAGTATGGAAAGTTTGTTTTGTGATTCTGAATCGTAATGTTTACTATTTAGGGAAAGTTATCGTTTGAGAACATAGTTGTGTTTGCCATCTAGTGACTCTAGGCTTTAAACGTTTTGAATTGAGAGGAATTTTTAATTGTTATTCCCTTGATTCTGGCTTGTTATTTCACACATTGTTTCTACTTGTAATTAATTCTTTCTACTTTTGACTTCTTAAACGATCTCCAACAAAATTATATTAAGGCGACTTATAAAATTTTCGAGTAGCAATTCTTAATATTGCCTTCATTGGTTAACTCCATAAATTAAGGCACAATACTCAGATAGTATTTTGTCGATCTATTTGAGAGAACTCAACTAAAATAAATCGATAATATTAAATATTAATGACGTCAAAAAATTAATCACTATATGTAAAATAAAACAAACACTGCAATAAAGATGGATGCCGTTTGGTGCAGTGTCCGAGATAAATAATGCCTTTCTCTGAACCGGAGTGACACCATTCTAAGTGAACGCACATAATTATCTAGGTAAGTAGGAACGGACTAGTCATACTGTCGATACAAGGCAGTAGATCAACTTTAATTTTTGTAACTACACATAACTATACTTACTTATTTTAAATCTTAGCTTGTAATACATGATAGAGTTTCTTTCCTGTTCTTCTCCGAATCTGCACTTTGGAAGAAGCACCTAGCGTCACTGGCGAACAGTCTGTCATACTACTATTTAATTTTGACGTTTCAAAAGTATCTATTAATAGTTTAGTTGAAATGAATGATTTTGACTTTGTTATAAGGGAAAACAGTGTTACAACAAATCCTTAATACAGCGTAAAATAAAAAGATATTAATGTATTATTTTAATTAATCATTTCACTACGAAGTTATCTGAGACATATGAAAAATGTTACTTCACTTTTAATCACAACCACTAAATTAGATTGGGATAATTCTAACGAAATATACAAAGAAACCCCAAAATACAACCAAACAATTTGTCAAAACGATTCCATACTACTTAGATAGACTACTAGAAGCTTAGCAATGTAGTGTCAACTCAGATAAGTTGATTCACTGTTTAAGTTGGCTCTGTGGCATAATAGTTCCCTCTAAAAGGAAGGACGTACACTCCGTTGCATATTCCATCAGGCGAAATGAGGGCAAGTAATTAGTGAGAGTACATTCTCAGAAGCGTTAATTTAATTATCATATTTTCTCTAGTTTTTGCCGTGACTGGCTTCGCAAATCTCCGAGCACCGCGTAAATTGTCAACTGAGTTGTTTCAAGTAGTTGTTATAACAATTACACGATACTAGCTTCTCCCAGCGGGTTCACCTATGTTACTCAGGTAAAAATGTAGTAACTTTATAAGGTGCTATAAAAATACCTCACACATCGTCAGCCTTTAAGTGCCCACTGCTGAGCAAAGGCCTTTTCTCACACGGAGAATCACCACGCTTGCTCAAGGTGGATTGGCATTTCCTCGCGATGTTTTTCTTCACCGTTTGTTAGTGGTGTCTAATCATAAAAAGTAAATGTAACACGGAAAAAGTCACATTGGTATTTGCCAGGTTTCGAACCGACATCCTCATGCGGGCCTTAACTTCCGGGCCACCACGAACCATATAAAAATACCTGCCAGGGCTTTAATAGGAGATTATAAGAAAAGTTTTGTTTAGTGAGTAAGGGATTTTCGATACGTATTATTAGCGAGAAAACTTCAGTTGCGCGATTAAGATCTTGTTGCGCCATCTGTTGGATTGTTGTCAATCAATGTGAGTCGCCACAGATAACAATAGTAAAGAAATTTTATGCCCCGGAAAAGTTGATTAACTTTGAAAAATTAACAAGTTAAATTAACGTTGGTTCTATTCAGCATAGCGTGTTTCGCAAATTATGTGCAATGTGTCATTTCGTCAATGAAAACAACTGTTCTAAATACGGAGGGGCAACAGTAAAACCTACGGGATATGTGAGGCCGTGGAATCACTTCGGTCGAGCCGACCCATTCGTGCCGAAGCATGGCTCTCCCACACTTAAACTTAACTATTATCTCTTATTCATAAAAGTGTGCTTAATTAATTATTATATTGCACTCTTAACACATAGTTAAATCTACAAAGCATTCTAGAGTTTCTCCGGAAATAAAAATAATTTCCTATTTAAAGATGCATTAAGCAAATTTTTGAACTGACGACTAGCGAAAAAAGGTCTTATTTCGATCTTTGAATACTTTTACAAAATTGTAGTTGTAACGGGTGTCCATTGGTAGTTAATGTAGTACCTAATTATATATGACTATCGCAGGTAGCAGTGACCTTCAGTTTCGGCTCGACTGTGCCTGGTTTCAAATGGTACCCAACATTACTAGGTATCTGATAAACGTTGCTTAGACAATTTGCCTTCAGACTCTAAATCTTACACAATTGAAATTGAAATTAAAATTGTATTAATATTGAAATATGTTCTTAATAATTGGGCTTTGTTGGATCTAATTGGTTTTTAAATAGTATATTTAATGTAAACTCCAATCAGTCAGTTCGGTCGGACTAAGTTGATAAGTTTTATAATTACATTGACGATTAACTTTAACTTACCCATACACGGATTAAAAATCACGCATACTGTAGATAAAAATATAAAATCCTGTAAAACGGCAAAAGCGACGAAGCGTTAAGATAAAAGAGCCTTTAAAACCTGTACATTATACCATAATTACGTCATTTTCCAGTGACACCCCTTAAGTAGAACCTTCTATGAAAAATCATTCAGTTTGTAAGCGAGTTTATAAAACGAGCGAGTGCTGTCAGAGCCCATTCAGCTATCGCTAGGAAGCTATTATCGCTCTCGGCCCCACAAGCGCTTTCCAACACCATCAGTCAACTTTAATATTCCAAAACACGCCTTACTACCTTCCAATAAAGTGCAAAATACTGCACACCCGACACCGATGAACGCCAATGATAAAGTCAACTTGTGTTAGGCGCATGATGCGGCAGAAGTTTTACTTACCGCCTGACTTATTTACCGAAGAACACATTTTTACTGAGGAAATTACTCAATATTTTGGTGAACGAAAATATACATATTTCATTCGTTGTGCTTTGAGGTTTTAACGTAAGTATTTCTTGGGACTTGCGCTGTTTGACGAATGATAACGCGTGATTCGTTCAAAATAATTGGTACAATATTAATTCTTATCGTAAATTTTATGGAAACTAGTGTATCAGTCATGTTCAAGTCCACATAGTATTAGATTAATCAAATTTACATACACAACATAACCAGGCCCGAAAAACAATTTATGAAATCATATAAATTTTTGTTTCATTCAAGAATCGAAACCGCTATACGTCACCCAACAACGACTTGCCCAGCTACAGCGCCAACCGTGCAATCACATGCATATACCATAAATATAAATTTCAGTAAAAGCAAAAAATAAAACGTCAAAGAATGTAATACGTTTTAATATTCTATCTTATGTTTTCCTCACAAACTAAAATATTTTTGCTTTAAATTTGCATTGAAAAGAACATCGTTTAAACTACTAATAGATTTTTCAAAACTAATTTAAAAAAGAGATCGCGGTAAAAATGCGAGATAGAAAGTTTCGCTAACAGAACTAAATTAGCTAGAACACTTCGTGGAAAAAATGATGAGTTCACAGCCACGAGCCACGAGCTTCGAGCCACCAGCATTCACTTGGAAAATATGAAAAGCGGTGTTTTTCCAAGAATTCCTACAACAAAGCTAATTAATTTACGGAAAATGCAATTGCTTGCGGAAAATATCCTTAAACCTTTGTACCTTGTGTAAATTGTTTGCAAAAGACAATATTATGATTAAATTGTTTTAGTTTCCCGCCAATGTTGGTCCTTTTCTTATCTTA